TATGTGTGTGTGTGTGTGTGTATATATATATATGATTAATTCCTTAATTTAAACTCCTTCATTTAGTAGAAGGGCACACCATTGGGAATTGCAACATATGTACATTTAAAGTTTGGATTTGTGCCAAACATACCAGATTGACATTGCTTCTCCTGTGTATGTGCACTGCTGCAATCATAGACATGTTCAGATAGATCCACACAGTAACACTGAAGTTCAAGTGGTAATATAAGAGGCAAAGGATAATAGCAGAGCCAGTGAAACCACCTGGCAACTCTATAGACTTTAGTAAATAAACGGTAGCCCTAGTCGATTTTTCTCAGTGGTGAGAGCATCGGCCCTCGGACTGAAGGGTTGCAGGTTCGATTCTGGTCAGGGCGCATGCAGGAAGCAACCAACTGACGTGCCTCTCTCACATTGATGTTTCTCTCTGTCTCTCCCTCTCCCTAAAAATCAATGAAGTTTTTCTAAAGAATCTTTCAAAGACAAATTGTAGATGTCATTTGTTCCAGGCAAACATCCATTCACAGGGAGGTAAGAGAAAGGGGTGTGCATTGATAATAGAGGAAGAGATGGTAGGCCAAATGTGGACTGGCAAATACAACTTTCATTGGTGAAAAAAAGACTGTGGGCTAAATTATTTCTGAAGACTATTTATAAAATTAATATCCTTTATGCAAATTTATCAAATTTCAGTTAGTTACCTAAAAATCTTGTTAGTAACCAAGGCAAGACCATTAACCTCATCTGCCAACAATGAAGCTAACTCGGGAATTGAAATTTCCTTCTTCAAGGCAATGATCAAATGAATACACAGTCAGCTATACCATCTCATTCAGTCTAAACAGGATGACAGTGATATATACTGGACAATGCCTCTAATTCACTAATTGACATACCACCTCAGGGCATCACTTTCAAACTGCACTCATACATTCTGAACTGAATTCAAGTAATGCAAATATAGTCCTGCTGGAAATTCAGAATTTCTCAAAAACAAAACAAAAACCCCTGAAATGTTTAGTAAGCAAATCTTTCTCCATTTTTCAGATTACAGAAAGAAGGTGTAGAAATGAAACCAGTTCTTTAATGCCTAATCCTGCTCACTCTATTCACTAATCTGGTAATTTGCTAAAGAATTGAGTAATACATTGCAAACCTATAAGGCATAGACCAGTGATGGCGAACCTATGACACACGTGTCAGAGGTGACACGCGAACTCATTTTTTTGGTTGATTTTTCTTTGTTAAATGGCATTTAAATATACAAAATAAATATCAAAAAAATAAGTCTTTGTTTTACTATGGTTGCAAATATCAAAAAATTTCTCTATGTGACACGGCACCAGAGTTAAGTTAGGGTTTTTCAAAATGCTGACACGCCGAGCTCAAAAGGTTCGCCATCACTGGCATAGACTCTCTCACTATTAAGCTGGCATTCACTAAAATTTACAATAATGTGAAAGTAGGATTTTGCAGTAATATTTCATTTGCTCTAGCCAAGTTTTACTCTAAAATATTGAGGAAAATTCAGCACTTGTCTAACATGTCTGTATGCTTTTGACTGGTTAACATGTTAATCAAGAAAAGGGCTGTGCTGTCCAACTATTAGATAAGCTATTTGGAAAAGAAAAAATATTTGTCTATGAATTTGTGGATGAAATGTTTCCAAGAAGAAATTACCAATGGGCCCTATTTTAGTTCTTTCCTATTTTGAATGACAGACCTAACATTCTCAGGAACCTTAAGAATATAATGACTATATCTTTCAAAGCCTCCAGGGATTATTGTACATTAACGTATCAGAGTCAGCAAATTATTTATCTGTAAGTTAATCTAATTTCCACCCCCTTCCATTTGAAAGCTAAACTTCTGAGTCTCCACTTCAGCAACTTTATATCTGAAGCGCCTACATCTGTAAAAACATTTCTAATGAAAACACAAAGACAACCCCCCGAGAAGCAAATAAAATGAGATTTAAGTATATAGCAGCCTTCCTACAATTACATTCCTAACAGTGGATTCTAATTGGATGCCAAATAGAGGTTATATAACAGAATCAGTGGGCACTCTAGTTCTTTTGGTTTCAGTGAAAAAATGTAGATGCTCACACAAATCTGCATTTCCCCATTCACACCAGGCTAGGTATGACATCTTTCTCTGAGTAATGGAAGCGGAGGGCCCACTGGAGAGGAAGAAGCGGAATTTGTGCTCTAGGGCAGGCGGCAGGAAAGTCCATGCTGAGAAGTCTGGGCTCCAAGGCCTATGTCACAGTTGCCAAAACACAAATATCAAAGACAGATTGAAATTTCAAGTCATAACATATTAAAATTATTCAACCAGACTTTATTCAGCATCCCCACAAAAATCATTTTATCAGTTAATAAGACCATCAGACAACAATAAGACGATAGCCAACAAAAAGATACTAAGGGATCTAGTAATTCATTGTGAAAAAGTCTAACTTATATGCATGGTCTGGGCCAGAGGTCCTCAAACTTTTTAAACAGGGGGCCAGTTCACTGTCCCCCAGGCATTCCACACATGCGCACTGCGGGCCCGGGACGAGTCGCTGCTAAGCAGGACAGGCAGCAGCGGCAAAAACACCCGGCGGGCCGGATAAATGTTTTCAGCGGGCCAGATAAATGTTTTCGGCGGGCCGCATGTGGCCGTAGTTTGAGGACCCCTGGTCTGGGCTATCTGCTATATTAAGCAATCAGTGGTTTTGTTCTTTTTTGAAAGGTTAACAAGACCTTGATTTTATAAACCTGAAAGCAGTACAGTTCCACATTTCAAGGTCCTCCAGTTTCCTTTAGAGGACAGGATGAAAATGTCGCCATTAATTTTCACTTATTTCATATTTTGTTCACAAAGGTGCTACAAACATATAATGAAGTGTCTAAGCCATTCATTCCTGCATTGAGGACTGAGAAGATAACTATCTTCAAAAATGGATTGACAGGCAACTCGTCACAGAAAACTTTTAGCATAAGAATAGTGGGTAGCAGATTTGAGGCAGAGTTTGAAGCAAACTTTTCTTTTTGTGGTAAAAGAATATATATGACATAAAATGTTAACCATTTTAAGTGAATAATTTAGTGGCATTAAATATATTTACAATGCTGCAGAACTATTTCCGCTATCCATAATCCAGACAATATACAAGCTTTTGTTCATTTAATTTTTCCATCACCATTTATCCCCTCTATGTCCTCTTCTACCTCCACCCACCCTTCTCCCCCTCACAATCCCCACACTGTTGTCCATGTCCATGAGTTTTTTTTTCTCTCAATCCCTACACCCGCACCTCCACCCCCAGACCTGTCTGCCTGCTATCTATGAGTCTGTCTCTTATTTTCCTTGGCAGTTCAATTTGTTCATTAAATTCCACATATGAGTGAAATCATATGGTACTTGTTCTTTATGAATGCAGCAAATAATGAGTGCCTACACGAGGCAGGCACTATTTTATTTTAGTCTTGTCATATAGCAGAAAGTAAGAGACCTCACTTCTGTCCTCAGGAACCTTCTGTTCTGGTCAACTATGCTTCTCAGTATCCCCAAACTCTATGAAACATGTGGGAAAGTATACCATTTTGATAAGAAACCAATGGCGCATATCTGGTGTCAGTAACCCATTTTCAACATTACAGGACTGCTCAGAGATGTTGCAGCAGAACATTATCTTCTTTCACTATTATTTTTGGTCACTGCTTTATTAGGTAGCAGATGGTAGAAGAGTTGGGCTATATTCTTACCTGATGGACAAACGTTATATCCTTATGTCAGCCTCCTGCATCTCTATTATTTAGTTCAACATCTGATAAAATGTTGTATACCTTAGAAACTTGTCATAAAAATACTTTGTTTTCTAATATTTCCCATTTTAAATACCAATTTGAGATTTCATATATATGAAATGTCTGGAATAAGCAAATCCATGGAGTCATGAAGTAGATTAGTGGTTGTTGGGGGTGGGAAGGGGGAGAATGGGGAGTGATTGCTAATGAGTATGGGGCTTATTTTGGGGATGATGACAATGTTCCCGAATCAGATAATAGTGATGGTTGTACAACTGTATGAATATACTAAAAACTACTGAACTGTGTATTTTAAAATGGTGAGTTTTATTTTTGGTATGTGGCTTTATTTTTTAAAAATCAAGTATTCAGTCAAGCTGGACATAATAGTAGTGAGAGGTCAAATTTCAAAAGTCCACACATCCTAGCAGAGGACCCTTCCTATAGAATGCAAGAACCAGAGCAGTCCATTCTGAGGTGGCTGAGGACATGCAGTATGCATTGGGATTATCTGAGAACTCAGATTCAGGCAGGGCAGTATCTGGACAGAGCGGTGAGTGAACAAGAAAGTCATCTGATCACACTAGATGATCTACTCTTAAGATGTTCTGGGCCCCAATACATCCTTAAGTCATCCTCAAACTCCCACATCTGCTAGAAGCAACAGGAATCGGCTGTCGATAGAAAGTCCTGGATATACCTATATAGGAACTCTTCAAGTTTATACAGACATGGCACCACGCATACCTGGTAGACATGGTACACCCCTCCCATACAGTGTGTGCCAACCTTAGACGTGGAAACTAGACTTTCTCCATGAAAAGGGAATCATATTTTAAGGATGAATTTTATTTCACATTAAAATAGTTGATGAAAGATCTGCAGTTATATGTAGTAATGAGGAAATTTATACATTCACCACTCACTTGCTCAATTCATTCATCTGCTGTGGTCATACTCGACTCCCAGGGAGTCACTACTTTTAAAGCAATCAGTATAAATATGTTCAATACCACATCCAAATGAAGTGGCTGTTGCTGAAGGTGTTAAAATTTCACACTTCCAATTTTAAAAAAAGACTTAAACATATACAATGTAAGCACTTACAAACCAAAGATACAAAATGACTTGATAGGGGAAGTGTCAAGCACTGGCCCACTTGATTTAGAACAAAAGTAACAGACTGCTCAGAAACTCAAACATGCATACGATTACCATTTTATTTGTTAAAATACATAGCCAAAAGATAGCTTTACAGCAAGCAAAATAAACCACACATCCATTTTAGCAAAGTCCTTTTTGTTTCTTTAAATCTAAGGCCCCCTCTAGTGTTTGAGAAGAGTCACACACAGTACACAATGCAATTGAAGGCAGTCACTGTATTTTACCCGAGACTTTCCGAAACAAAAAGAATACTCTGTTCAATTCACGTGGCACGGAATTCGGTAAGAGATAATGCCTAACCATAATTAATGTTTCAAATTCTTGTTATGATTCACATATTCATTATTTTCTCATTCAGTAATTTCTTTCTCTGTTATTTACTGCTGGGTTGTTTTCAGATTAATACTTTGTTAATAAAGAAAAAACCATATAATGCATGCAGGGACTTTAATTTCCCAAACAAGAAACATACCTCCTTGGAAAGCAACAGAAAATTAATTTAGTGTTACCAAATGGCCTATTCTGCTTTTACAGAAGTTATCAGTAAATAGTATGTATCCCACCTGAAGTACATACTTAAATTTATTATATTTGGGAATCAGAAATTTCAAACTATATATATTTAAAGACTCACCAAATTGGGAAATTTCTAATAAGCCTTTTCAGTACCCTTTAAAAGGACGTGGGAAGTGCTCTGAGGACAAATGTTGGCTCTGAAGAATATGTAAAGGAATTCTTAAGTTTATACAAACATGGCACTATGTAAATCCAATGATTTAATCTCATGTACTTTTTAAAAAGACTGATTAAAATTAGAGGGAGAAAAAATTTTTTTTCATTCTACTTTTCCAGCTAAAGTCTTTTTTTAAAAAGTACCTATTTCTATATTACAGAGTTAACTAGTCATACTATTACTGAAAAACAAAAAGAAATCTCTATTTTCAACAAAAGAAAATGATGCAATCTTGAGCAAGAGGCTGACAAAGACCTTATTAAGCTGCTACTTCACATTCTTAAAAGTTAAGAGCACACTGAAAATTCGAAAATTCAATAGGGCTTGAAACAAGTTTAATCTGTGTGAACTTTAAATAAAGGACTAACTTGTCTCTCAATATTACCATATGGCTTCTTTGCATTTATCCTGTTTCCTGTTTTCAAACGTGTCACTTGCTAATGTTAGAAGTAAAAAAGACAGGACATCTAAAACAAGTTAAATAAAATTGTTTACATTTGCAATTGGTCTAAACAATTAAGATATCTATATTCAAAATGAATAGGACACATTTTTAAAGTGCAACATGTACTCTTTTGGCTCAACATGAAAATATATAACTGCAGTCATTTCTCCTAGGACAAATTTATGAAAAGCTATTTTGAAATCTCAGCCATGAAATTATAAATTACAAGGAACACTGACTGAAAAGGCATTTAAAATGAGTATATAAAATGCAATTACAAATAAAACCAGAATGGGAGAGGTAGCACAAAGTAAATAAAATCAAATAAATACTATACAATAGCATATAAAATTTTTGCTTATAAAAAAACTGAAAATTGCATCTTAAAACATCCATTTTGCCCTTCATTTAAGGGTTTTACAATGAAATTAAAATTTAGACCTGAAGTCTGTAAAGATTTTCCAAATGTTATTAATTACTGGTATTGCTTTTTGCCAAAACCTCTCTGATCTGTCGGTCAAGTTCACTTATTATTCGATCCTCGTGATTATACACACCCGTCCTCATCAAAGTATCCCTCTCTTCTATTAGGCGAGTCAAATAATCATCCAAACCTTCTTCCAGGGCATCGCCATGTGGACCATCCACTTTTCCACTTGCAATCTCTCTGGAATCCTGGCACTGTTTTTGTTCTTGTTGCCTTAACCTGAGAAGTCAAGAACAAACACTACTCTAGTAGGCAACAAATATTGTTTTGGTTTTCTTAACAATGCCATTTAAAACAAAATGATTTAATGGTAAAACACGTTTTTAGTCATATTTTCAGGAAGAAAACGAAAACCAGTGTTACACTTGGCAAGTCAGAGTTAGCACACTTATAAAAGACAGTTTTAAAAACAATACTTGTTTTTCTAATAATAAAATACATGAAAACTGTAGGAATTTTGAAAATGTTAAAAAGAAAATAAAATCATCATAATCTTATCCAGGGATAACCAATCTGAGCAATAATTTTTTCAATAAAAAAATGCATATATATTTTAAATACATATTTTTCTGAAAAAAGTATTACATGCAGTGATGTACACTATTTTTTTTCACTTATTAATATAATGAATGTTTTTGCCAGGGCATCATTAAGTGTTCTTCTAAATGGCTTCATAACATCCCATCATTTAGATGCCCCATTATTTAACCATCCTTTATTGTTGACCTTTAGCTTGTTAAACCTCTGATATTATTACTATTCTGACATAACATTTCCTTCTAAATTCACTCAAGAAAACTTTTATATGTACCAAACAGTGCTGGTTTTGGGGGATACTGCAATGAATCAAGAAGAAAAGACCTTACTGTTATAAAGTTTATTTCACTAATTACTATAGGAAGTGAAATTCTATAGATGTGAATGCCTGATTCAAAGGGATTGTACATTTTAAGACTTTTACAGTTATCTTCAAATAATGTTTGTGATGGCACAATTTGTAAAGGCCAGGATCATGTTCTAATTAATTTGTAACATCTTCCAAGTCTGCAACATAGCAAATAAATATTTGCTGAGTTAAAAAGCCTTATAGCATGGCCCTGTAGACCTTGACCTTTTCCAAATGATACTTATATATTAATACTAGAGGCCCGGTGCACAAAATTTGTGCACTCAGGGGGGCCCTCAGCCTGGCCTGCTCCCACTCGCAGTTCGGAAACCCTCAGGGGATGTCTGACTGACTGTTCAACTGCTGGTTTAGGCCCGCTCCTCCTAAGCCAGCAGTTGGACATCCTTAGCGCTGCTGTGGAGGTGGGAGGCTCCCGCCACCGCTGCTGCGCTCGCCAGCCATGAGCCCACTTCTGGCTGAACGATGCTCCCCCTGTGAGAATACACTGACCACCAGGGGGCAGCTCCTGTGTTGTCTGCCCCCTGGTGGTCAGTGCACATCATAGCGACCAGTCATTCTGCCATTCAGTCAATTTGCACATTAGCCTTTTATTATATAGGATACTAAATGTAGCTATTTAATTCAGCTATAAACCTACCTAATATAGGCCTGAGTTTTCCCTGCATCATGGAGCTGTCATGGGATATTTCATCAAATTTGGAGGAATACAAATGAACTCAATTGTATTCCCCCCAATTAATATGCCAAGCCCTATTCCCCAATGTGATGGTCTCTGGCTTTGGAAGATGATCAGAATGATCAGGTTTAGATGAGATGATGATGATGGGATTAGTGCCACTGTGAAAAGAAGCACCACAGAGCTTGCTCACTCTCTTCCCACCAGGTGAGGACAGTGGGAAAGCAGTTGCTTGCAAGGCAGGGAGAGTCCTCACCAGAAAACAACCATGCTGACCTTGAATTCTGTCCTCCAGAACTGCGAGACAATACATTACTGTTGTTTAAGCCACTCAATCTATGGTACTGTATGGCACCCCAAGCTAAAACAGTATGCTTTCCTGAAACAAAAATACTATCTCTTGAAAAACTAAGTTAAAATGTCTTCCCCCAAACTCATCTCCAAAAAGATTATAATTTGTTCTTATGCTGCTTCCTAAAGATGATTTTTCTAACATGAAATACCACTGAAATTCAAACTCAGATGAGCAGGCCTCAGAGAGAAGAGCAGTGTAACATAGTATTTAAAAATACAACCTCTGGAATCAGATTTGAACTCTGGCTCCAATGACTTACTAGCTGTGTGACCTTGGAAAGGGTACTTAACTTTCTTTAATTCTTGGGTGTCCTAATCTCTAGAATGGGGATAATATCTTTCTCAGAAAGTTACACTGAAGATCAAAGAAAATGAGACAGGCATGTGAGGCATTTAAAATAGCTGCTGCCATATGGTTAGGGCTCAATAAATAAGAGCTATTACTTACATTAATACTATAAATCTGAAATGTCATATACTTTTGTAATTAAAAAATCAGTATAATCAATTACCTTGAAATAGTAGCAATAATCCTGAACTAGTGACACAAAAATAAAATTTAAGACACCAATTCTATGAATGTAAATGAAAAAGCTCAATAGATTTAGTATAGCTTTATTCGTGACAAAAATTTTGAGTATAATAATGGTCTTTGGCATAAGTGTTCTATTGTACAAATCAGCTACATTTTATAGTATATGATCTACTTTATTCTTGAAAGACCTGACATAATTTCCCTGGACCAATGACCAATTAAAAGGTTGCTATTAGAACTTTCCTTTTGTGTGAAAAAGCAATGTAATGTCCTAGTTACTATACCTGTTTAATTCATTTCTTATATCCAACAATTCTTGTCGCTCGGTTTTTACTGTATCTTTTTCCTCAGAAGCCAAGTAACGCAGTCTCATCTGTTCCAATTCTTCTTGCTGTTTTTTAAGACGAGCCATTTGACTTTCTTGCTCCCGCTGGAAAGAAACAAACAAGCCAGAACCCAAATATTAGGAATAAATATACTTCATATGACTTTAACTTGTGATTATAATCCTACTTGACAGTACCCATGATATAACCACACACTGACAATTCTATGACACACATATTATCCAGAAATGACCAGTTTTAAAAAACCCCCACCTCTTTCCATTCCTTTTCTTTCTGTTATAAGCCATAATCTTTAAAGGCCCAATCAATGAAGTTAGCTGAATAGCATAAGATAAAAGAAGTTGAAGGCAAGAAAAGAGTCTGCTGACAACACAATAAATTGCTACAAGGATCAGTGGCAAGAGCAGCATCTAAGAAATGGTTAATTATACAAAGATGTACCAAGAAAAATTCAGTAACTGTCACTATTTCCATTGTCACTAATTCCACTATCTTAGGTAACAATACGCCTTTTCACTCTTTTCTCCAGGCTCATACAAAAATCTATGCATTTGACATAATTTCTTTAAAATACATGTGTAACATTCCACAGAATGAATATTCCATGATTTTTTCAACCACGCTCTCAGTAACAGACTTTTGGTACAATAAGCAATGCTGGAATAAAACACCCTATCATCTAGTATCACTCACAAATATTTCTATATATATATTTTTTAGGGATGGGTGCTTTTCTTTCTTTAGGACACAACCCCAAAATGGGAGAGGTATGTGTCAAAGTAAACATTAAAACCAACCACTCAACTACCATCCAGATAAGAAACAAAAAATTATCAGAATCTCAGATGTCCCTGTTTCCATCCTTTCGCAAACATAACCACTACCTACTTTCTAACACCACACATTTTGACTGCTTCGAACTTATATAAATGGAATTGGACAGTATGTACTACTTTATGTCTGGCTTCTTTCACTTAACATTATTTTTAAATTCATTACTATTACGTGTAGTTGATGATTCGTATTACTATTTGGCATTCCACTGGATATACAAATTATCCATTCGACTGCTGAGGAACATTTTAGTTAGTTTTGTATTATAAAGCTGATAGAAACAATATTATACATGCCCTTTGGCACATATTTGTATGCAGTTCTATTGGGTATATAATCTAGGATTCAAACAAAGGGTATGAAAATTTCAGTAGTAGTATATACTGTCAAACAGTTTTCAAAGTAGTAGTACAAATTAATACTTCCATGTGAGCATTTCAGTGTTCAATGTTCTTGCCAACACTTGGTACTATCAATTTTTTTTTTTTTCATTTAAGCCGTTCTTATAGATTATGTAGTAGTATCTCATTGTGATTTTATTTTGCATTTTTTCAAAGACAACTGAGGCTGAACATGTTTTAATATTTTTATTTTATTTTATATATTTTATTGATTTTTTTTACAGAGGGAAGGGGGAGAGATAGAGAGTTAGAAACATCGATCAGCTGCCTCCTGCACACTCTCTACTGGGGATGTGCCCGCAACCAAGGTACATGCCCTTGACTGGAATCGAACCTGGGACCCTTGAGTCTGCAGGCTGACGCTTTATCCACTGAGCCAAACTGGTTAGGGCATGTTTTAATATTTTTAATTGTCATTTGGGTATCTTCTTTTACAAAGTTCCTGTTCAACCATTTGGCACTTTGCTCTACTTTGCTATCCATCTTTCTTTATTAATATGTTTGTAGTTCTTTATATACAGGGTAGGGGAAAAATAGGTTGTTTGTGTGGGAAATAGTACAATAACTAATAAATAATATAAGAATAAACTCTATGTCCAGTACTTACAACTGTAAACCTACTTTTGTCCCACCCTGTAAACTAGATAAGTCCTTTATCATTTATTTAAATTCCAGATATTTTCCACTAGTGTTTGTCTTGTCTTTTCACTGCTGTAATGGTATTTTTGACTTAATTTTAATACAGCCCAAATTTATCTATTTTATTTTGACTAGTGCCTCTATGTCCAAGTTTTTGCCTGCCTCAGTCTTAAAAATACTCTTATGTTACCCTTTTAAGTATTCATTTAGATCAGTAATTCATATGCAATTGGTTTTGTGTGTGGTATCAGATCAAGTTTCCTCTTCTACCCATATAGAGCTCAAAATGACCTAGCAATATTTACTAAAAGACACCCCTTGCTTGGCAATATCACCTGCCATATGTCATCTCTGTCCATTATATGTATAGGTTTGTTTCTGGACCCTGTAACCTGATTTATTTCTCCATCCTTTCATTAAAAGTACACTGTCTGTTACTATAACTCATATAATAATAAATCTTAATATTTGAAAAAGTCTTCTACCTTTGGCTATTCTTCAAAATTCTTAGTTATTGTTGACTCCTGCATTTTCATATAAATATGTTTCTAGGCCTGGAGGAAAAAAAAAGTCCTGCTGGGATTTGATTATGCTGAATCTACAGATCAATTTGGCTAAAACCATTGATTCTTTAATCATTGAACACGGTTTATTACCTCTCCCATTATTTAGGTCTTCTTTAATTTTGTTTAATACTTTATCCTTTTCTATAAACTAAGAGTAATTGTGTTTCAAGATGCTATGGAAGAGTTTTAAAAATTTCCTTCTCTAATTGTGTCTGTATAGAGAACTGAAATTGATCTTTTCATATGGACCTTGTTTCCGACAAACTTACTAATAAATTCATTAATTTTGGTAGGTCATAGACCCTTGGTTTTCTGAGTATATAACAATGTCATCTGTAAATAGTAGCACCTTTACTTTTTCCTTTGCAACTGATACACCCTTTCTTTCTCTTGTCTAATTATACTGGCTAGAACCTCTAATACAGTGTTGCTAATGGTGATAGAGGGCATCTTTCTCTCATTCCTGATCTCAAGGAAAAACTTTCCTTAATTTAATTGGAGAAAGATAAATATCACATGATCTCACTCATTTGTGGAATATAATGAACAACATAAACTGATGAACAAAAACAGATCCAGAGATAGAGACCCATTGATCAGATCGTCAAACCTCAGAGGGAAGGCAGGGGAGGGTGGGGGGAAAGGAGAGAGATCAACCAAAGGACTTGTGTGCATGCATATAAGCCTAACCAATGGACACAGACACTAGGGGGTGAGGGCATGAGTGGGGAGGTGGGGGGCAAAGGGGGGATAAAGACACGTGTAATACCTTAATCGATAAAGAAAAAATTAAATTAAAAAGATAGGTTTTATGTAAATATCCTTTTTTAGATTAAGAAATTTCCCTTACATTCTTAGTTTGCTAAGAATTGTTATTATGAATGGACATTGACTTTTTCTACATTTTTATATGATTACTTAATTTTCCTCCCCTTTAAAGGTGGTAAATACCCAACTTTGCCTTTGTTTAATAAATAAAGTTGATTGTGATGGTTACAAGTTTTATATCTATGTTCTTGAGACTGATCATTTTTTTGTTCTTATAATACCCTTATCAGGTTTTGGGATCAAAGTTATGCTGGTCTCATTAAAAAAAAAAAAGAGAGAGAGAGAAGTGTTCTCTCTTCCTAATTTCCAAAACAGTTTGTATAAGATTAGTGTTATTTATAAAATGTTTACTAAAATTCAAATGTGAAGCCATCTGGGTCTGAAGACTTCTTTGTGTGAAGGTTTTTTCACTAGTTTTAATTTTTCTGATAACTATATAACTACTTATATTATCTGTTTCTTCTTGTGTCAGTTTTGTAAGTTCTGTTTTTTCAAATTCAAATAAAAATTTTTGTACCATCCTCTTATCTCTAATGTCTGAAGAATGTGTAGCCCAGTCCCCCTTTTTTATTTCTATATTAGGACCTAGTAATTATTCTCCTTTTGTCTTTGAACACTTTTTGCCAAGGGGGAGGTTCCTTTAAAAAAAACATTTTCCTCCTATTTCATTAAGTTCTACTTGTCTTCATTATTTTCTATCTTCTTATTTCCTTTACTGACTGTTTGAAAGGGATATTTAGAGAAAACTTTATGCTTTTCTTGTTTTCTAAGTGAACTTGAGGTTACAAATGTCCCCTAAGCAGAGCTTTCATTAAGTCTCGTGTCTTATGTCTATTTCATTATGAAAAACATTTTCACTGGGTACAGAATTTTAGGTTGGTAGTTATTTTTTCAGTACTTTGGGGCAGTGGTCAGCAAACTGCAGCTCGCGAGCCACATGTGGCTCTTTGGCCCCTTGAGTGTGGCCACGAAGTTTCAATAGCACTGTACGTGCACACCCGCACATGGTATTTTGTGGAAGAGCCACACTCAAGGGGCTGCAGTTTGCTAACCACTGCTTTAGGGCTATTATTCCACTGTCTTATGAATTCCTTCACTTTTGTTGAAAAGTCATCTGTCAGTCTTATTGCTGCTCCTATGAAGGTAATGTCTCCCTCCACCCCCACAGCTTTTTGACAATTTTACTGTGATGCATCTAAGATATGATTTACTTTAAACTCTCCTGCTGAGAGTTAATTGATATTCTTAAGACAATATCTTTTTCACTTTTACTAGTATAGACTTCTCAGCCATTATCTCTTCAAATATTGCTTCCTTCCCCCATTTTCTATTTTCTCTTAAGTGTTGCTATAGGCTGAATATTTGCATCTTCCCAAAATTCTTATGTTGAAACCTAATTCCCAACATGATGTTGTTAGGGGATGGGGCCTTTGGAAATTGCTTAGGTCATGAAGGCAAGCCCTTATGAATGAGATTAATGTCCTTATAAAACAGGTCTGACAAAGCTCCCTAGCTCCTTCTGCCATATGAAGACACAGTAAAAAGATGGCCATTTATGAACTGGGAAGCAGACCCTCACCAGACACAGAACCTGACAAGTTGTGTACCTGATCTTAGAGTTTCAGCCTTCAGAAGAGTAAGAAACAAATTTTCGTTTATAAGCTATGGAGTCTGTGGTATTTTGTTATAGCAGCCCACATAGACTAAGACAGGGGTCTATAGTTAACAAAAGGTAGTCAGTCTCATGTACTCTATCCCCGTGGTCGGCAAACTTCAGCTCGCGAGCCACATGCGGCTTTTTGGCCCCTTGAGTGT